GGTGCCTCGGAGAACATTTTTGTGAAGGAAGAAGTTGCTTCGAATGACCCGAGGAACCCACTACTTTCGGATTGCGAGACATTTTTGGGCACCCTGTATACTATATCGAAAGTTCGAGCTTTTTCTCGTCGGGTTCCTAATCGTTTGGAATTTTGGTGTTTTCGTCGTCGACAATATAGCTGGGAGATTGCCAATGACACGCCAAGAGGCAATCAAGCATTTCGGTTGGGGTCTGACGGAGTTCGAGCGCGCGGAGATCGAGCAATATTCCGAGATCTGGTATCTGGGCCTGGCGGTCCACAAAATTCACGGCGAGGAGGGTGCCGCCCAAAACAACGGATACGACGACGAAAATGGGAACTACAACAAAGTCCTCCACGATCACATCTCGTACAGGTGAGCCCCCCTCTCATTAAAAGGAAAGGACTTTCCTTTTAATTGACACTCGCGACGACGGCTGCGTACGTTTATTTGCGCCGATTTCACGTTTTTCCATAGCAGCCATAAGCGCGATTCGATCGTTATCCGGGGAGAAAGATCGCGTTCGAGCAGCTCGGTGATCGTGCTCGCCCGATCGGGGCGACGCGAAAGGAAGAAAATAATTGGAACTACTCCGTTGAAAAGACACGGAGCACTCGACGTTTATTGTTCTTTCGTTTAATTATTAATAGAAACTAGGCGCTCGCAAATGAATAACGTAAAATGCAAACGCGAAAGGTCCGACGACGGTCTGTCGAACGCACCTCGATAAAAACATCGGGAATCGAATATTCATCGACTGGCTACGACCCTGGAGATTTATGCAAATTCAGACTTTTCTGGAGCAAACCTTAAAGGACTGAGACTGCATAAATCGCGGCGCGGAATCGTACGATTGAATCGCAAACGGAACAAAACTCGGTTATGCAATGTTAAATTCAAACGTCCAACCATCCGGCGGATCTTTACGCATTTATGGCGCTCTCGCGAATCGATGAAATAACCGCGAAGATGTTCGGCGTCTTCGGCAGAAAATAATCTTCTGCTCGTCCGATTTTTTTAAAAAAGCGATTCGCGATTTTTTCACGGGTTATTTCACGAATTTTCGCGCGCTTACCGCGCGCCGTCTTCGAAATACGCAGATACGAGATCCTGGAGGTGATCGGCAAGGGAAGCTTCGGCCAGGTGATCAGAGCGTGGGACCACAAGACGGCCCAGTACATCGCCATCAAGATCATCAGGTGAGCGAACCACGCGATAATAATTGCGATCGACTCGATCACTACGGTCGCTTTGTCGCGCGCCCGACATGTTATATCCGCTTGATTCCCCCGTTCGAATGACGCGACGCGACTCGCTCGCCGTTGCAGGAACAAAAAGAGATTCCATCATCAGGCGCTCATCGAGGTGCAGATCTTGGAACACCTGAGGAAGAAAGACGTGGACGCGAACCACAATGTGATACACATGCTAGAATACTTCTACTTCAGGAACCACTTGTGCATCACTTTCGAGTTAATGAGGTACGTGGTGCCCGGTACAACATTCTATTTCTCGTCTCCTCCGGACGCGTTCGGCCTCGAAACACCGCGTGCGCTTAACAAACTTGAAATACAGGTAATCCTCCGATAACACGGTAGAGATAGGTTCATAGAAAATGTCCTGTTGCGTGAGACCCTGTTATACGAGACCCAGAGTCGGTACAGAAAGGGCGGTTTCGTTTCGAAAACCTGTTAAAAAACGTTCTTTTTTAAATTCTACAGAAGCAACTTGACTTTTATTAAAAATATAACTTAACACAAAACGGAAAGTAAAACGGAGAATATTATTTTCATTTAATTTAACCTTAATTTCGGCTTCTTTCAGCGGAAGGGGGTATATACAAGGTGACCCAAAAATTTCTCGCAAACCGGAAATGAGAAGTTCCTGGGATCATT